ATTGTATTTATATCCAAATAGATGCTCCACACTGATCCAAAGACTGTGGCTAAGCTGCACGCAACATTGACACGAAGCGAGAAGGGCCTGTTCCTGGTCAACGAGAGTCGCAATGGTACTGTCAGTGTGAATGGTCAACGTTTTAGCGGTCCGGTTTTGATCACCTATCGTGACGCAATTAATGGCATTGTTAAGTTACGTTTTGGTCGCGTTGAGGCCTTCCTACGCGTCTCCGGCAGCCTGGGGGGCTAAACTGGGGGCGTTGCCGTATATGGACGGTCGTCTCCATTGTTTACATTGGACAAACAGTTAGAGGTTCACTGTTTTTCAAGTTTAAATTTATGTTTCACTACGTATTAAATGTATGTTTCACGAATTACATAAACCACCATGTTGTTTACCCAAAAACATTTCTACTATTTGCCATCAAGTGTTTATTTCAAGCCTTTATCAGGCATCAAATTACAGCATGACCGGAGTTTTGCCTAGCAAATCTATCTTATACCCAGTTGAACTAGAAAATACCCTATACCCCGTACCTTGGAAATATCCTGTGACTTGCCTTAACATACAATCTCAGCAACTAGTAGTCAGACTTAATATCGTATCAATCGATTTGTGTAATATGTAGAATTATATCAAAAGGGGGGAGTTTAACTTGTTCTGCTTCTGATATACATTTCGTATAAAACTCACCAGCTGTTATAGTCTCTGAGATCAGCGCGAACGTATATAGAAGATAAGGTCAACTTTTGTGACAGATCTAGAATATATATATTTTGTGGATTCGCAAAAGCTTTCTTTAGATTATTGTATACATTTCTAATAAAAGAAGGGTATAAGAAATGCATTATGTGGGGTATAGCTAAAATAAACTTGAGCTGCTTAAGCTAAACAAAAACCTATATACAAAATATAATTTCTCTAGCTATCATACACTGAAGATTTACACATTGCGAAACTGACGATATAGTTGAAGTACCTAACAGCAGGCAACAACAGAAAACTAAATTTGGACTGACTTCACATGCAGGCCTGCTGCACAGCCATTGCCCTGATCAGCTCCTAATGCAATTGCCAGCCAATGGCTGCGACTGCAATTGCTTTAATAGATGCCCAGCGAACTGAGCTTAAAAAAAAAGAGTATAAAAAAAAGCAAAAGGAAATTTTGAAACATGCTGCGAACACTCGTATGTTGGCCAGAACTACGGAAAATGGTCGCAAGAACGAAACTCGAGCAGCGAACTCCAACGGGTTGGCGGCTCTGTCAAGTGGCCCGGGCGGAGGCTGTTGTACCCAGCCCGGCTGCCATGCATGGCATGCGCCCGTGGACATTTTCGCACTCGCATAACTTTGACAGCATTTTTGCAGCATTACAATTAACTGCCTAGTTGTGGGGTTAGATGGCCGGAGAGGCGGGCGTTTGAGGGCGTGGCAGCAACAGCTGCAATCGGCAGCAAGCGGCCGCGAGTCTGATTGCTTGACTCAAACCGAGGCGGCGGTGACGTCTCCTGCTGGTGGCGCTGTGTCTTGCTGGGGCTTGAACCCAAGCGCCCAAGAGCAGGCAAAACCTATACGTAAGGGGGCGTGGCAGGCACACGCATGCCATGTGTGTGTGTGTGTTTGTGAGTGTGTTTGAGCAAAATTTGTTCCATTTTACGCTCTCTACACAAAAACAATAAATCGCTCACAGCGTCACGTCAACTTTCCTAATGCAACAGCCAAGGGAGCGGGTCCAAAGGATGTTGCCAGCGACTGGGGCAACGGGTTACGAAGCACAGGGGCTGCCTGGGGCGGGAGAATGAGGGAGGGAGGGGGTTAGGGGGTTTACTTGGCACAGCTTACGGGATGCCGGATGCAGCAATTGAGGCTGGAGCCATTTTAACTGCCACTTGAATGCTAAAAACAATGAGCACAGCAACTAAATGCACACATGTATATATACACACACACGCGCACACCTGCAAACGCACACCCTCACACACACACACACACGCACACACGAAAACAGAAACTGTAAATTGTAATTTAAAAACTTTTAGTGGCTGCCCTTGCAATAAATGCGCCACGTAAATCAGCCCATGATGTAGATGATAAAAGGTAAGAGCCTTGGGTTACAGGCTCTGCCAGTGTATACAGCAATGCCCCCAAGCCCCGCTACCCGCCGCCCAACCTCTCTTTCGCTCTACACACACACACACATACACAACACCAACAGCCCCCCCTCTCTCACGTTCTGGTTGCCATGCTACCAAACAAATTGGTGTTGACTATCTGCGCCGCAAATATTTTGTTTTCTAATTGCCAAAGCCATGCAGAGCCACTTGCCATGCTCCCTCCCCCTCTACTGCTCCCACTCCCTCTCACTTTCTCTCTCTAACTCGCCCATAAACGCATTTAATATAAAGTTTCAGTTTAAATCACAAACAATATATATATATATATATATATATACATATATAGAAAAGATTTCACAGTGGGCTCAGTTCTATGAACTAGAGAGTGCTTCGAAATACGGCCACAAAAGATCCCCAAGATCACTATAAAAGAGAGCCCTAACCATATCGTAAATGGATGGCAGATTACAAACTTGATATCAAATAAGGTCCTTGTATGAAAAACTCATATGCTGTTCAAGAGATCTAAACCAAGCTGAGATTCTGCCAACGTCGGACTTTTAAATCATTTTGCATATTTTAGATATTTTCAAAGAGTTTCTCAAACTAATTTTGTCTACCATCCATTTCGAGAAATAATCTCGCTCTTTACTGGAATAACTTTAGTTTTAATTTAGCATGTCACATTTGAGTGCTATCTTGTGTTTTCAGAAGCTTTTCCAAGTGGAAGCTACAAAAGCTAGGGACTTGACATAAATATTTGCTACTTCCAAATCAGATTCAAAACGAGATTCTCTTTGTTTGTTGATTTCTTATTCTATTTTCGAAATATATTTTATTTATATTTTAATACTTATTTTGTTCTATTAAGCATACCTTAAAGGCCATAAAAACTTATTTTGTGTGCAATATTTACGCACAAAACATTTCAAAAAGATCGAAGCACCGTTGCACATTTCTCAGCTGCAGAAAGGACTTAGAATGTTTGTATAGAAAGCTAGACGCAGGGTATATCCTAGTCGGGCAAGCCCGTTTAGAGCACATTTACTTTTTGAAATTGATTAAACTGGCCCATAAAAGAGCGCACAGAACTTGCTGTTAATTAAACAGAAGCATTTTCTGAAGCCGACAGCACATATGTACAAAAAGTTTGTTCAACGCTCTCAATGCCATACGTAATACCCTGTAAATTACAGATAGATAAGTGCTGGAATGTTAAGGTTAGGTTAATGTTGTTTTCACTCAAAAAAGTACGACACAAATCATCAATTTGTGATTTTACCCGTAAAACTTTGGTATACCGAGTTTACCTAGGCTGGGCTGCGCACAGATGTTAGAGTTGTTGTTTTTTGGTTTGCTGCCACATCTACTACACCTTTGGCAGCATCAGATATACACACGCACACACACATGAATATACGTATGTTAAGCAAAAGTGAAGAAACGTGATTGAAATTTTATCTTTGGCAAAAAATCGAAGAAATATGTGAATTGGGCTTTGCTGCCGCAGCTGCCCCGTCTAACACACACATATGCTTGCATATGTATTTGAATAGATCCCAGTGTGTGCGTGTTCCATGTTCGTGTGTGTGTGTGTGTGTGTGTGTGTGTGTGTGTGTGTGTGTGTGTGTGTGTGTGTGTGTGGGCGTGGGTGTGTGTTTGACTTTTAAATTCCTCATCGTTGGCGTTAACCATCGCCGTGGCTCTGTGTTATTTGCATTGAAATGTTGAGTAATTGGAAAACCAATCTGAAGCATCTGCACTTCATGTTTTGCATACCTGACTGACAGACGCCAAACGATGCGACGCTTCACATTCTTTTTTTTTTTATTCTCATATGTTTTTTAGCTGAAATTCAAGAACAAATACAACATATACACGCACACACACACACACTAACACACTAACACACTCACATACTCGCACACCACATACCACACATCACACACAGGCACCGCGACAGGTTGATTTTGCTTCTGGCATGGCAGTTGTTAAAAAATAAATTGTTTTTAAATAGCTCTCACAACACTCGAAACGCTCCCGGGGCCCAAGTGTGTGTGTGTCTGTGTGTGTGTGTTACCCTTCTCTTCTTCATCCTGCCAGTCAAACAGTTAAAACAAGCATGCTCCAGCCGAGCATGTTCGCCTGTAAGATATCCCAGATGAGGGATAAAGTTGCATTCAGTATGCTTAATTCTAATCAGATTTCACGACATTCGGAGATTTAAATTCCGTAGAACTTGTGGAATATTCATTGTGCACCTAATTGTCATCCGCAATACACAAATACTCTACTCTATTTTTGAAGATTCTATACCAAGTTTCATTGTCTACTGTACTCTACCCCTTAAGCATACGTGTTCGTTTACAGGGTATAGCAACGAGAACGACAACAACAGGCAAACGACAAAAGCTAACAATGAGCGTTGGCGCTTCCGTTGGCGCTTCCTGGTTCCTGAACTTATTTGTTTTCAATTTTATTATGTTTTCCCTTGCTTTCTTACTCACTTTTCCCCTATTTGCCGTTACTCGCTGTTTTTGTTTCGTTTACTCTCAAGCTAAACTGCAACTCTCGTTTTTATTACCTTTTTGTAGCTATTGCTTCGAATAATTTTGCATTTGTTCACAATTGTCTTATGTCGTAGACTGGCCCCCCGGCAATCAATCGAGGTGTCACAGCTTGCCACGGATATTGTCTCAATATGCCCAAGTTATTGACAATTTCAAGTTAACATCCAGCTGTGAAGCTAGGTGCGAGAAGGGAAGTTTCATGGAAGCTCAATTAGGAACAAAGCTTTTGATATTAGTTATGCTCCCATTTGAGCTGCCTTATTGAAACCTCTTATTCGACCGCATATTATTTGCTCACTCTTTCTCCTACATCTTTTTTGGTATTCACTTCACTTCCATTTTATTGTTAACTCAAATTTCGATCATTTTTTTCAGTCTAAAAACAAGTACTAAATCATAAATATTTTCAATTGCAGGATCCCCCTTCCGTAGAGTAGGAACGTGGACAAAATGTTTAGAGAGTAAATTTCCTAGCGAGTTGGATTGCGATTTTGGTTATTGGAGGGCTTCCCATACAAGCTCGCTGAACATGCACACGGATTTTTTTGACCCGTTTGCTGTTCTGACCTTTGGCTGTTGGGCATTTTTTTGTTTACTTGGCCATTCTTGCCACGCACCGGCTCAGGCGTGGCCAGTACGTTGTCCGATAATGCATTGCTGTTCGCCAGTTGATTTTGCGGCATCGAATTGACGAGCTGATCGAACGGTGCATAGTTGTCCATTGAGTCGAAGCCGTGGAAAGTCCCATTAGGGTCACGGCTCTGCTGGGTTGACTGGTAAGAGGGACCGTAGGAAGGCTCACTGATGTCTGAGAGATACATGTTGTTACGATTCGATTGCCCCGGCGAGCTGATGCCAGTGCTCTCATATGGCGGCATGGAGATGTCGTTTATGCCCTGGTAGCTCGGTACATTCTGATAGCCATTTTCGTCACGATTTCGGGTGCCGTAGCCGTTTTCGTCGCGATTTCGGTTGTCATAGCTATTTTCGTCGCGATTTCGGTTGTCAAAGCCATTTTCGTCGCGATTTCGGGCGTTGTAGCCATTTATGTCGCGATTTCGATTGTCATAGCCATCCTCTATCCGATTGTCCTCTTCGTTTGGATATATACGCTTCACGGAAGTAACAGATGTCTTAACAATCACATTTTCCACCTCAACTACGGCTGGGCCATTCGCACTATTATTGAGTGCGGAGGGTTCACTTTCATTGCCCAGCTGATCAGATGTATTTTGGATCACAGTCCTCTTCACACTTTGCTCAGAGATTGAAATTTGCTGAGAAAGATTTGAGCCGTTTTTCTTCACTGGCATCCCACTCAAGTCCTGCCCTCTCTCCGAGGGCATGCCCATATTCTCTGCATTCTGAGAGTTTACACCACTTCGATACAGTCCAGATGGTTCACTTATGTCCATTACATTATCAAGACGTTTACCAGTCGAATGACCAAAGTTGGTTTTCTGTCTATCGTCCAGCGTTTCAAGTGGCCGAGAATTGTTACGATTAGAAGGCATTTGAGCACGCGCAGAGCTATTAGCAAACATCGAAGGTTGTGTAATGTTGTCAAGGTTCTCGTAAGCCGAACTAAAGTTTGGCAGCCGATTAGGCTGCGTACGATTCATGGTGCTTGCATAGGAAGGGGCGCTAACATTTCCAAGCATTTCGCTTGGATAGGATTCATCGGCAGCAGGTTGCGGTATAGTTCTCGAGTTTTGGAAACTATTGTAAAACTCATGCGCTGGACTGCCCATAGAAGGTGCTGAAATGTCACCAATGTTCTGTTGACTGGGAATGCATGGAACACTGTGAACCTGTCGAAGCGGCGTTCCGTTCTGCATTGAGTCATTCGATACATCAGCTCCATGCAGTGGCATCTGATAAAGACTCTTCATGCCTTTACTGCTGTTGCCAAAGCTGGGAGCACTCTCGTCATCTAGGCACTCGCTGAGATAAGCCGGTTCAGAACGCGGTCTACGTAAATTGTTCGGTTGACTGGTGGGACTGTCAAAGACCGGTGGAGATATGTTCCATAACTGTGGTGTATTTTGGGATATTCCACTGCGTCCATAGGAGGGAGGAGTTACATTGTCGCTGGGCATTGTCAATTCTCGCCGACTAGTGCCTGCACCTGAAACGCCACTTGGCATTGTTATATTTTCAATGCACTCACTCGGCATTGGATCTCTTCCAGAGCTAGCAATAGGTGCTGATAATTGTTGAATTCTGGGACTTGCTCCCTGCGATAAGCTTCGCCCAGCATATTTATTAGTTGTAGCACCACGGCCATTGCTACCGAAAGATGCAAGAGCTGATGTGTCACAGGTATTTTGGGATGGAATTGATCGCTGTTGATGTGTCGGAGTTCTTGCTCTTGAAGCACCCGACACTCCAGCAAAGGAAGGCATTGTGATGTCATTTAAGTACTCATTAGTCGTTGGTCCTCTGGTCGAGCTTTCATATACATTAGTATTTTGACCACGCCCACTGCTTCCAAATGATGGAGCTGATATGTCGCAGATATTCTTGGATGGCATTGATCGCTGTTGACGTGTCGGAGTTCTTGTTCTCGGTGCTCCCGATATTCCTGCAAATGAAGGCATACTAACGTCCTGCAGGCAGTCAGTTGTTTGTGGGCCCCGACCTGAACTGGCAAATGACGGAGCAGTTATATCTACAATGTTTCGTTGGACCATCTGCGGACGTTGAGGTGATCTACCGAGCGATACGCTCCGCCCAAACGATGGTGCGCTGATTTCATCCAAGCACTCAGAGCGCATGGTTTGCTGTCGTCGTGATGACCCCGATACTCCTCCGAATGACGGCATGGTTACGTCATCTAAGTATTCATTTGTGACTAGTCCACGTCCACTGCTACCAAATGACGGCGCTGATGTGTCACAAATATTCTGGGATGGCATCGATTGCTGCTTCCGTGTAGGAGTTCTTGCTGTTGAAGCACCCGATACTCCTTCAAATAAGGGCATGCTAATGTCCTCCAAGTACCGATTATTTGATGGTCCTGAACCTGTTATGTTATTGAAACCTCCATTAGCATTTGGGCCACGTCCACTGCTTCCAAATGATGGAGCTGATATGTCACAAATATTCTGGGTTGGCATCGATTGCTGCTTCCGTGTCGGAGTTCTTGCTCTCGAAGCCCCCGATATTCCTGCAAAAGAAGGCATGCTAATATCCTGCAGGCAGTCATTAGTTTGTGGACCCCGACCTGAACTGGCAAATGTCGGAGCAGTTATATCTACAATGTTTCGTTGGACCATCTGCGGACGTTGAGGTGATCTACCTAACGATATGCTCCGCCCAAAACATGGTGCGCTGATGTCATCCAAGCACTCGGAGCACATGGTTTGCTGTCGTCGTGATGACCCCGATACTCCTCCAAATGACGGCATGGTTATGTCCTCTAAGCATTCATTTGTCACTGGTCCACGTCCACTGTTGCCAAAGGTCGGCGCTGATATATCAAATATATTTTGAGAAGGCATCGATTGCTGCTGCCGGGTCGGAGATCTTGCTCTTGAAGCATCTGAGATCAGATATGATGGCATGCTTATATTTTCTAAACATTCGTTAGTATTTGGAACGCGTCTTCGAAATGAAGGAGGAGAGGTTATGTTCTGGGTTTGCATGAAACGCTGTTGACGCGTGGAGGTTCCTGCTCTTGAAGCACTCGATACTTCTCCAAAGGAAGGCATTGTGATGTCCTCAAGGTACCCATTTGTCGCGGTTGCTCGACTTGCATTGCTAATATTTTCTAAAGGCCTTTGTTGACGTCGCGCTGATCTACTGCGCGACATTCTTTGTCCAAATGAAGGTGCACTGACATCTTCCAAACACTCAGACGGCATAGCCTGTTGCCGTCTTGAAGATCCCGATACCCCGGCAAACGAAGGCATGGTTACGTCCTCTAAACATTCAGATGTCACTGGTCCATGTCCACTGTTACCAAAAGACGGTGCTGATATATCATAGATATTCTGCGATGGCATCGATTGCTGCTGCCTAGTCGGAGTTCTTCCTCTTGAAGCGCCCGATACTCCTCCAAACGAAGGCATACAAATATCTTCTAAGAATTCATTCGTGGCTTCTCTACCTGAACTTCCATATGATGGCATTGTTATGTCCTCCAAGCACTCATTAGTCGTTGGCCCACGTCGACTACTTCCATGTGAAGGAACTTGGTTGTCCGAGATATTCTGGGTTGGCATTGATCGTTGTTGGCGTGTCGGAGTTTTTGCCCTCGAAGCACCGGATACTCCACCAAAAGATGGCATACTTACATCTTCCAGGAACTCATTAGTCATTGGTCCTCGGGTTGAGCTTCCAAAGGACGGCATGGTCACGTCCTCTATATATTCATGCGCTGTCGACCCTCGTCCACTGTTTTCAAAACTTGGTGCCAATATGTCACACACAGTTTGGGTAGGGATTGAACGTTGTTGACGTGTCGAGGTGCTTGCTTTTGAAACAGCCGATACTCCTCCAAACGAAGGCATACTGATGTCCTCCAGGCACACATTATTCCCGGGCCCTCTGCCAGAATACTCATATGATGGCATTGTAACATTCTCTAAACACTCATTTGTCATTTGTCCTGGTGTCATTTGTGATGGCGCCGCTATGTCGTAGATATTTTGGGGAGGCATTGAGCGCTGTTGACGTGATGGAGAACCCGCTCTTGAACCTACCAATACTCCGCCAAACGAAGGCATACTGATATCCTCCAGGTACTGATATGTCGCTTGTCCTGAACTATCATATGTTGGCATCGTTACGTTTTCCAAGCATTCATTGGCATTTGGAGCCTGCCCAAAAGTTTCGAAAGATGGTGCTAATATGTCACATATAGTCTGGGAAGGCATTGATCGCTGCTGACATGTTCTTGCTGTAGCACTCGACACTCCCTCAAAGGAGGGCATACTGATATCCTCAACAGCTGTTATGTCGAATGTATTATGTGAGGGCATGGACCTTTGTTGGCGTCGTGGTGTTCTACTGCGCAAGGTACTAGACACTAAAGATGGGGCACTAACTTCATTTAAGCATTCACTAGGCATATAGTTTGCTTGTCTATTTGACGCTGCAGACACTCCGCCATATGAAGGCATTGTTATATCTTCTAGACACTCATTGGACGTCAGGTTTCCTTGTCGCCTTGACGCACCCGAAGATCCTGTAAAACCTCCAAACGATGGCATTGTCACATTATACAAGCATTCACTGGGAAACTCTGTTGCTTGTCGTTTCGAATCACCTTTAGCACCAGCGACGCCTGACGGCATGGATATATCTTCGAGGCACTCGAAACGATTGGTACTAGCGAATGGCGGTGCCGACATATCACATATATCTTCTACGCCTGGACTTCTAGAACTGTTAACGGTGCTATTTGGAAAAGAGGGAGCACTCATATTTTCTAGGCACACATTTTTACCAATAGGTGGCGCTAAGATATTGCTAATAGTAGGCGGCGTCGCTTGCATTCGTCTTCCCATCGAGTCCGCAAACGCGGGAGCACTTATGTCTGCCAGCTGTTCACTTGTCATGCCCTGCGGCGCTATACGCGTACTCATTGCTGGCATGGAATTATCGTAAAACGAGGGCATCGAGATATCAGCGATATTCTCCGACTGGGCTGGCATGGAAAAGTGAAGATGACGTCCTTGTGCCCCCTGTACCGTACCGATTGGTGTGTATTCCAAATTAGTCACCTGTTCGTAGGGAGTGTTGGACACTGTGCTGGTCTCCTCGACACGACTGGTAACATTTCCGCACTGATCCCGATGGGTGGTTATCTTGCGCAGTGTAGTCAACACACTGTTGTTCTGTGTACCGCATTCCAATAGAATGTATATATAAATTATTGTACGCTTGTTACCTGTTGAACGGTGCCTTTTTCGGGCACTTGATTGGGCACTGGAGTTCGGTTCTCTACCGCGGGCAACAGATTATCAGCATGCACATTGTGGTCATGTGCATTTTTGAAACTGTGCACAACCTGGCGGTAAACGCTATCCACGTAGTTGCTTGCATCATTTTGGCCCACAGACTTGTCTGTATCGGACATATGCGGCGGCGAGATATTAGCCAGATACTCGCCACCCGGCCCAGACATCTGAGACGGCATGCTCAGATCAAACGCCGGTGCCGACACCTCAGCCAGACACTCCTCCGTCAAATTGCTTAGATTTGCCCCAATAGGTGGGCGATACATTTGTCTTCGGGGTTGCGCCAGCCGCAGCGCATCCATGGCCTCGGCGTCTGTCTCATCTGTGATTGGTTTATTAGTCAGTTGTCAGCAAACTAAATAGAGTAACAACTCTACAGACATGTCATATTGCGGAACATCCGCGGATTGCGCCATTCCTCGTTATTCGTCAGACCAAATTCCCTGGGATCATATTGACGCACCTGTCCGGTGAATCCGGGACGCAGATGTTCTGGCGTATTGGCTAAATCATTTTGTGTCAACTGACCGTTGGGCGTTTTACACTGCGCACTGTGCATGGTTTGGGGATTCAACAATTTTGCCCAATGGTAATTGATCTTTTAGCCCGAAAAAACACAAAAATTTCCTTTCGAAATCAATGCCGAGTTGAAGTGTTTGACGATGACAGACAGTACGAGCAGGCCTACTAAAATGTTTCATAACTTCTGCGTCATAAGCAATGGATTCCGTCTATGACTGACTACATCAATCAATATGGTTATGCAAACTCATTTATGCAGCATAGATCTGAAAAGTCTTGCTTTGTTATGACAGGCACTTCCGTTAGTTCGCACAAATGCAATTAGCAGGTGCATAGTTATTTTTTCCATATACTGTTTTCTTTAATTTGATTGGCTTTAGCTGGCTGAATAGCATCCAATTCTTAAGAGCTTGTCTGGGTCAGATCTGCGTGTGTGTGTGTGTGTGTGTGTATGCGTGTGTGTGTGTGTGTGTGGGCTGGCAAGTCGTCACACGAAACCGCTTTCATTTCCGCCAAACACAATTGCATCATTAGCGATGCAATCTCCGTTACTTAACGTAACCGCAACATGCCGGAAATGAAATCCGAGGCAAGCTGGCGCGCCCAATGCTAAGCTCACTAAACTCTGCACGGTGAACGACTCGACAAGTGCGCCGAGGAAATCGCAAAAAAAAAAACAAAAATGAAGTAAATAAGAGAAGGAAAAATAGGTGGCGCAGAAAAGGAAATATGACGTCGCCGTGTGCCATAGTCAAAGAGCAGTCGAGTCCGCTGACGCGCAACCAGGAGGCACTCGCCAAGGATAAAGGAAAACAACCGGAAAGCAAACGAAATGATGCTGCTGCGCACAAATAATCGAATAATGCCGCAGCTGAACCATAGCCATGCTGTGTCCGTAGACGAGCAGCAGGTGAAGCCGCCTTTAGCTAAGTCACAATGCCGCTGACATTGCGGCGACCAGTGAAGCTCCAATGGGGGGCCAAAGGACACAACGACAAATGGTTACGCGGTGTCGCTTCATTTAGCTTGATGCAACCCAGGCGAGTGCCACCGGCAAATATTTGACTTGGGCTTTAGGGAACACACAAGCTCACACACACGAGGGCTGGCATTAAAGTGTATTATCGCAGTTGTGCAAATCCGATAGTTCATAATTCCGAATTGAGTCTTTAATCTTTTGAGCCCTTCGTTTCATCTGTTTTGGCTTTACAGTTTGTCCTTCTCATATTCCCTGAATCCGTTAAAAGTGAGGCTACAAAGGGCATAATGACAATCAATACCTGAACCGAACTAACATTGTCCGACTTTCTGTGACTCCATGTGTGCATCATCTGCATTCATTTCAAGGACTATCAGAGTACATATCGCTTGTATTTGAAGAGTACAAGCTTTAAAGATCTGGTTTTAGGACAGATCCAGTATTTATTATCTTTTTAGATTAGATTTATCCCTCTTTGCACTGGATCCAGTTTAAGTACAGGCTGACGATCCAGTTTGGAGTATAGCACCGATTGCAGCATTAATATTAGGTTATCTACTAATACACGAAGGTGAAACGCTGGAACAGCCCTCGCTGCTGTACACATGTGCATGCAAAAGTGTCAAATGGAATGTTTTCAAGATATGTACAGGCAATCAACTAGATATTTGCATACGCCTCTCAGCCCTGCACCTTTGGCACAGCGTCTTCAGACTAACCCCACGTCAAATTATTCTTTTTATCCAGCCAGTTTCCAAGTTCGCGACGCTTTGTGCCGCATTAATGCGCATATTAAAATGAACGACGACGTCATCACCGGACGAGCTGTTGCCTAGGTGACTGACATTATATTCATACACTCGTACCTAGATGCATGTTGAGCTGGGCGTGGGCTCAGAGGAGAAGTGGGGGAAGGTGTAGATGGCCCCACAAAAGAGTTGCCACTCAGCGACACCGGCAACTGCCTCAAGGCCACAGACATTCGGGCCCTAAAGGGCGGTGCGACAAGGTTCGAGCAACGTTTAGCTTGCTTACCTTTCAATTTGGGCATGCCCGGATCGCTGGGGTGTTTGGGTCGAGTGACTGAGTTAACGTTGCCTAACTGTTTCGGGCAAAACGGCGTAATGCTTTGCAATAACAGTCAAAGCCTGTTTCAAGCTTGCCGTCAACATGTACCACACAGCGATTAGGAAATATGTGTTCAAATAGAATCAAAAGCCGAGTAAGAGTGCGTTTTTGTCGGGAGTTCCCAAATAGGAAATACCCTGAGCCCAGCAAAATTACGAATGTTCTTATGTGCATACATAGGCAGAAGCATATATACGCACCCACACATACACATCATATGACGGTCTATTCATTCTTGAATAAGTTCGGTGTTTATAGTCCGATCGTTAAATGTTGGAAAAATTAGAAAGATATTTATAACGGTAAGCATTATTGTTCAACACTCCCATTTCCCTATCTATTGATACGTTTGTGCAAGCATTTAGGGAGAATAATCCAGCATGGCCTGGCTGAGTTTGGTGAAGAGAGAAAATAAGTTTTCTTTTACAGCTAAGTATATGATACAAAAGTCCGTTGCTCATAGGATTTTGCTTATATGTGGAACATATTGAAGAAACAATTGCCAAGTCGAGCTATTACAAAAAATGGGACAAACTCATTTACTTATGGGTTTCATATGTCACACATTTCGCGTATTTCGCAAAGGATTGGAAAAAAATGTTGCGTGCATTTGTGCGAAAGATGTTGAAATTTTTTTGACAATAAATATAATCTTTTCTGGGAGCAGTAACTGAGTGTTAACTGTACTTATAAATGCAACATTTTCTGAACTCACTAATTTTCCAAGATATTGGTGTTTTGTTAAATGTCGTTAAAACAGGTTTTTATTTAACAGGTAAATTTCTAATGGGAAATTTCGCAAGGATTTTAATTTGGGACAAGGCGACATCTAGCGACAATGTTTGGTAAAACATAGCGCAAGAAGCTTTTTCGAAGTCTATCTATAACAGTTACAGTTAATTTACAGCAACTGTTCAACTAACATTTAACTAACAGCGACTGTTAAAAGCAGAGCATGTTTTTTAACAGTTGCTCATTCAATAAAACCTTTCAATTTTTGACTAACAGTAGCATATTGATGAAAGCGCTTTAATTTAAAAGCTTTACAAGCTCAAATGTTGCAGTTGTCAGTTAAATTTTGAAAATTAAATGTTATTAGCAGTGACAACGTGGCTTAACCATGACAACAAGATGTTCAAATGACCACAACACGAGGCCGCTGGCGTTGCCCTGGGCTACCGGCAGGCCAAGTCAGCTGGCAGGTGCTCAGCTTGTAAACAAAACAAAGCAGCGTTCCGAACAGAGTGAAACCGAAAAACAAGTTACAACAAATAAAATACAAAATATAATTCAATTTTAGGCCAAACGAAGCGACGTATTCGCCATGTGCTAATGGGACTGATGTGCGCTAAGGTGCGCCGCTGCTGCAGCTGCTGCACATCCTGCTGCTGCTGCGAGGAGGCATCGCAGCTAGCAGAGACGGCGCGCTATAAGGTGCTACTACTGGGCGCCACCGGCAGCGGAAAAACCCAGTTGGGGCATTTGCTGCGCGGCGAGCAGCGCAACGCCAATGATATGGACGCCACCAATGGGGTGCGCTGCTATCGCCTGCTGGCCAACGGCAGGCCGGAGTCGAGCACGGGCAGCGTGCTGCTGACCGAGGTGGGCGGCAGCGCGGATATGCAGCGTATTTGGCCGCATTACTATGCCAGCTGCCATGCGCTCATCTTTTGCTTTGATCTCAGCGCCAGCTACGATCAGCTGGTGGACAACTTTGCGCTGCTGCAACGCTGCCTCGAGCATGTGGCGCTGCGCGGCTAGCCGTGCTGCTGGTGGCCACGCGGCACAGCGACGCCGTTCAGCTGTACGATGTGGAGCATGCCTTCCGCCTGGAGCAGGTGGCACGCGCCTGCGGCTGCCCGCTGCACATTTGTCATATCAGCGGCGAGGGTCTGTGGCATGGCGTGGCTTGGCTGCGACGCCAGCTGCATGAGCAGGCGCCGGCGATGGCGCAGCGCATCAAATACGATGTCAATATGCAGGTGTGTGCATTAACTGTTCACTCCCTCTCACTCTATCGCACGTGCTCTGACTCTCTCTCACACACTCTCTTTCTCTCTCTCTCTCTCACACACTCTCTCTCTCTCTCTCTCACTCTATCTAACTCTGTCTGTCGCTAAGTTTTTTTCTCTCGATTTGCATCTCTCTTCCGCTTACACTCTGTCTTTCTTCGTTTCTCTCTCTCTCTTTCTAAGTCTATGTCACTCTCACTCTAACTCTAACTCTCGTTCCCAATCACCTCTATCTCGACCTCTCTCCTCTCTGTCTTATATCTCTCCTTATTCGTTGTTTCTTACACATTATATCCCTTTTCCACTTTCTACATCTCTCATATATTTCGTTTGTTTCTCTCTGTCTTTCTCTCTCCCTTTCTCTCTCTTTGGCAGTCTTGGCAGCGGCGCAAACGCGCATTGCTCTCCAGCAGTAAATTGGCGCAGGTGCACCGACAGCGCTTTCGACGCCGGCAAAGAAAGGTAAAATGACCTGCCCGGTTAGCTCTATCCCGCTTTCACTTATGCTTTCGACTCTATTGCAGCTCTGGCCCATGCCTCTGGCCGGTGATGGTGACGTCACACAGCCGCGGCCAAGCACTGCGCCGGCCGCCATATTTGTTGTGCGTACCCCACAGCGTGCATTGACACCATAAAACTGCCTACGCTTTGAAGGAAATGTGCCAAAGATCAGTTAGTTTATGCCTTTTTTTTTGTCACAGAATCAATATATAGCAATATCAAATTTCCAATAAGAAATACAGCAACAACAAAATCAATCGTGTAAAATCTAAACATTTGTATACATACATACGTACATTGACTCTCCAGATTTACCAGCTGATCTGCAGTGCTCGCCAAATGACTTCATTATTTACACACACGAACGCGCGCGAATTGTTGATTATATTTGTTAATTAACTGCACAATTCAAATTAATTTACCACATTATTTGGAGTTATATGCAAATTAGAGAAACCACGACGCGTACTCCAATAAGCGATAAGTGTTGTGAAATATCGAACACGCAAAGCGATGACGTCACACCCGCGACCGAGCACTGCGCCTGCCGCCATATTTGTTGTGCGTACCTTGCTGCGTGCAGTGACGCCATACATAAATATTCGATTTGCCAGCTGATCTGCAGTGCTCGCTAAATGACTTCATTACTTATACGCACACACGCTCGCGCAGTAATTGCTCATGATATTTTTTAATTAATTGCACAAATCTGATTTTAGTTATAACATTATTTAGAGTTGTATATGTGCAAATTAATAGCGAATTAGGAAAAACACGACGCGTACTCCAATAAGCGACAAGTGTTGCGAAATATCGAACACGCTCATCGATATCACTTTGGAAGAAAGCTATCGATAGCGTGCAAATCACGTGTCAAGTGTCATACATATCAATATCAATAAATGTGCAAATTTATATAAAATAGCAGAAAAATAATCTAAAATAAACAATAATGGACATATTTACACCAAATATATGTATAACTTGAAGCCGCATTTTAAAGGTGTCAGCGAACAAAGCCTGCTGCAGGCCATGTGATGTGCATTTGGCGTCTAACATTTTGCGCGGCAGCAGCAGCCGAAGCGGAGCGGACGCGCCAGCTCCAGGTCCTTGTAGATTCTCCCAGCCGGCTAACTGCCAGCCGATGATGTATTGCAGCGCAGCAATAAGTAAACCACAAGAGCACCTCGCAAACACACACACACACACACACGAGCGCACGATATTCAAACAATTACCAACACTAACAGAGATTGCCACCCACCTATCAGGGCTGGTTGTGCGGGCGGAAGGCGCACACGCCGCTGACATTGATGATTGCGGCTCGTCGTTGTCGTCGGCGACGGCATTGTTGTTGTCGGCGTCTAGAGACGCTCGAACGTGTGCTCATAATAATCCCCGATATATAAGCCAGCCAAAAACCCGCCGAGGCACACACATACATAAATAAACATGTGTCGCCGTGTGTTGTAACGAAAAGTGTAAAATAAGCATCAATCATCGCTTATTCGAGTTGTCATCAATCACACACACGTTGCACACACACACACCCGCAGAGAGAGAGAGAGAGAGAGAGTGAGAGAGACGCACACACTGCGGTGCCAGGCAAAAAGTACAGGAACATAAAGCAACAAGCGCTGTTATCCTTGGTGGTTAGTTGCCCTCCCTACCCCGCCTTCTCCTCAATGCAAAGCATTTACAAATTTGCTGGCTGGGGCAGCCTTTAAATTTGCCACCCCTTTCGTACAACGCTCGCCACGCTGCACACTGGACACACATTCACACACACACACACACAAACCAACCATCTAATCAGCTTTGCCGCCAGTTATTAAATCATCAGGTTGCACGATCAGGCAGCCGCACGCCCATTCCCGCTGTCACATGTCTGTCAACAGTCAGCGATGAAAAGAAGTATATAATATATATATATATATGTATATATATTGTGCGTAACCAAATATCCTGTTGTTACTCCTGCTGCTGCCCCCGGCAGTTGCGTGCGTCAAGCCATAAAATAAAGATTTAATCGGCATTTATGTATGTATTTTTAGGTTTTTATGATAATGCGCTCATTTTTCTTTATTTTGCGATATAGAACCCAACGAGTTGTCAAACGAGCGGCCCTTCAACTGGATGATGAGCATGTCATTTGTTGGGGCCCCGGCCAAGTAATGTCCGACTACGTTCAAGGCGAAATGCCATTCAAGCTGACTTTATGTAAAAATTTAAAAAAAAAAAAAAAAAAATGTTTATGTCATTCACTGGATCGATTAGAAGCGGGCGACAGGGGATGCAACTGGCACTGGGCAGCTGGAACAGGACCGAGAGCGGGTATTCAACGAGCCAAATATGCGTGACCACGAATCTCACTTAAACTATTCAATAAAGGGTAAGATTAAAAGTCCGCCATACAAAGTAAATATATCTTATTGATGTCGCTATTCTCTAGATTAAGGCAATCGACTCAGCTCGTCGTCTAGATCAAGATGATTGGATATGCTTTCTCATCTCTTATGAATCTCAACGGGCTCCGGATAAACACAGTTAGTCATAGAATATTGTCAAATTTGTTGTCAATTTTCATTTGATTGTCTTTTATACTTGTAGATTTAGCGAATTTCGTATATCATACTAGAAAATTTCAGTGGGCATGAAAATCGAGCAAGGAGGAGGACAATTAAACTATTTATATCTTATCAGACCTTTATACAAAAACAATCCAAATGCGTGTTGGACAACAGTGGAAGGAGTTAGGAGATTAAGCCTTGGCCTCATGGTAAATATTTAATTGCTTTTTATAACGCATAAGTAATCATAATTAAAGATTTTGCCGAGTAATTGCCAAAAAGAACAGAAAAAGTTGAAACCCTGTACCCAATTTCTGTAAAGTGATATTTGATACATTTTCTTGCCGAGTTAGGGCAAACATTTTTTAAGTAAAGCCTTACATATTTATTGAATTGTTATATATATATATATATATATATATATACGCGTGTATTCAGTATCAGCACTTTATAAGAGAAATTGGTTATTTTTTAAAAAGCAAACTATTTTCATGCTCGTTTTTAAAAAGTTTAATTTATTGAAATTATGCCAACAATTAAGATCTGACAGAATTTTAAATTATTTCAAAACAAAAAGACAACTTTGTAGTTTCCAAGATTCCCAATGCATCTATGCACTCTATCAGCTATGTTTTTATTATTAGTCTGTTCTCTAGCTGGTAATATTAGAAACCAATTAAGCCAAAGCCTTTTAAAATACACACACAGGACACATATCAAACTTTGTAGAGCAGCACACACACACACAGAGATAGAGAGAAAGATAGAGAGCAGCACATCCAGCAATGAAAATGATAATACCAGCTAAGTGAAGCGCACAACTTGCCAATTCAAATCATAACAATTGGTGGCAACCGAAAGGTAAGGCCAGCGCAATGACAACAAATGGCGTGCCAAAAGGTTGGTTTTAATTTCAATTTGTATAACAATCCTGTTATGCTAAAAGGTGGGATATCTACTGTTTTTGTATAATTTCAGAGCGGATCTAAAAACAAGTGAAACTCAAAAATGCCCGCGCACCGGACAGACAATCAAATAAAGTCACGCCGCTTTAACATTTGCGGTTGCCGGCAGCAGACAGAAGGATATGCGTTTGGTGGACAAGGGGTTAAGTGATGGACAGGTTGCAGCTGGGTAACTCGATATGCGCAGACAGGCATACACACCCAAGCACTCGCACACACATGGATGCAGGCGAACAAACTTGCAAAGGCTGCAGGACATGTACACGAAATTAATTTGCAACGAAGGGCACGAGGCGCGCGCTTTTAATCCAACATGATATCGCCCGCAAAATGTAAAACGTAGAGCTGGCACCCAGCTGCTGAACCTGAACCTGAATATGCCCCAGCCCGCACCCAGTACCGCTCGCAACGACTGCAACAAAAATCAGAAAGCGGATTAAACGTATTCGTGAGAATTCGTCAACGATTTCACACCTGTTCGACGGCCGCGCTTCGAGTGTGAGCTGTAGGCGTGGTCCGGCATAAAATGCCAATTAGAATCTCAAGCTCGCAGTCCGTTGGGCCGCGTCACTGTGACGCCTTCGGGCAATAACAATAGCAACAGCATCCAGGGCGGCTCCTGCTCCTGCTCCTTGCCCACCCCGCTTGCCGGCAACTCGCACGACTTTTTCGCCAACGCAAATTGTTTATCGCCTTCGGGGCGCTTTATTAACTTTACGGCTGGCCGAGCCGGACCGGACCGAACCGGGCCGTAGACTGGGCAGGAAGATCTGAACTCTCGGCTCAGTTCCACTGACCTGACCTGCGCCCAGCCATAGGGGGCTTTCGTAAGCAGCGGCATTTTACGGACTTTCGATTTTCATGTGTTTCAATTCGATTTGCTTTGGTTTCGGTTTCCGCATTTTTGTTGTTTGTTCTCTCGCACCTTTCTGGACTCTTTCCTCCATTTTTTTTGTTATTTTTTTTTTTTTTGTTAATTCCCTTCCCTTCCGCGCCTTCGGGCGCGTAACGCGGAAATGCACTCAAAATATTAAATGCTTCAGTAGTTTGCAATTATTGAGCGCCGGCCTTGTGCTTAATTTATAATACGGCTCCGGCGTGAGACTCAGTAACAGGCCCTGCCATACCCGGACAGCTGTCCGGCTGCTGACCATTTGCCCCAGGTGGCCGACGAATCATGCCAGCATGCTCAGCTCAAATTGAATTGGCATTAAAATTAATTTTTGAACACATTTTGCAGAATTTCATCATGTGCTTTAACTGAAATATTTGCGGTTTTTTCCCAGAAACATCTCAAGCTTGCGTCTTTCATTTGGATTAAGGACTACAAAATATATCAACATGTGAACTATACAGAGTAGAAAGAACCAGAGCTGTACGATAATTAATTTAGTTGTAAATGTATCTGAATTGTCATTCACAAATTCAATTGGCTCAATTGAAATTTATGTGACTAAGGAAATAAGAGAAGAACCGGCGCTTTTGGAAATCCCACCCGCAACTGTGGAAAGTTGGCGGAAAGCGGTTGTATGCTTTTTTTTTTTTTTTTACTATCCGATTGACTTTTTACTCATTTTAAAATATCCTCATTTCAGACGCATTTTAAACTATTCGCAAATTTCAAGTCTCTTGGATGGAAAATGCGGATTAAATGTTGTTATCCGTCTTCAAGCTTCGCACGAGATGCCTTAAATAGCCTTGCTCAATACTTGGTGCTTATTTCGATGCATACAAACTCATGGGTGAGTATCTTTGTAAAATATATTTTCTGAAAGTTCACGATAGTAAGTCTAGAAAATGCTTGCACTTAAACTAGACTTTTACCTTTATATTTTAAAAATTCGTATATATTCTTTACTCGGGTATTTATATTCAATAAGTAAATACTTTTCAAGAAGTTTAAGTTATATAGGAAAATCTATATAATATTTTAACTTGAGTATACTTAAGCTAGGCACAGTCTCTGCTCTGATAAAAGAGAGAACAAACCTTAAGATGTGTATAATCAGATATATAGGCACAGACATATAGATGTATATATAGATGGATGTCTATCATGCTTAGATGTTTTAGAGCAGGCCAATTAAGGCACGTTTCAAGTTATACAACGCGTATAAAATAACATAAGCTTTCGGTTTCACTTATTATGGCCGTTAGACATGCAAATGCCGAGATTCGAGGCATAAATATAAATTCCGAGACGCTTAACAGGCATGCCAGAAAGGATTACATCGACATGCCGCAAGCAAGGCAAACGACTTTTGATAAATCCCAAAGAATCTATGAGTTTTACGAGCTGATTTCAAAGAGTTGCAAATACATGTGTGTGGCCAGAGGGCGGGACTGGACTGGACTGAGCAGGGTGAATCGAAGTCGTCGTCTTCAGTTGTTTGGCGCAAAACTTTCAATTGCGATTCTCGGCCAAGTTGTTGGTTGGGTCTTATCTTTATTATCGCCGCTTTTATTACACTGACCGAGCGTGGGGCTGCCGGAGTATCTGACCATCGAGCGTCGACGGGCGTGGTGGAGGGGATGGTTTACTCGTAAAGTATGTCATGTGTCATAAATGACAGATTCTTAGGCATACTTCATTGATCCCTTTTTGGCCGCAACGATTTTTACGATGCCTCCGCTTACACACAAGCACAGATTCTAGCTAAATTGTTGCAGTATCTGTCACATACACACACACACATAAACACGTATACGTAGTGCGTGTTTGAAGTTTGCTTTTGATAAATGAATGGATTTTCAAAGGCGACGTTAATGAAATACGCACACAACACAAGACACACACACACACACACACACACACACAAGACAAAGAGCTCAGACACAGGATGTAGCCTGGCGTCGTCAGCTAGTTCAGTATAAACTCTGTTTAAGTGTGTGTATGTGTGTGTGTGTGTGTGCGTTTGTCTGTGTGCTTCCATATATCCTTCAATCTATCAAACTCACGTGTCCGTCGTGTCTCAATTTACTCGCTTAGTTTATGTTCAACTGGCGGCGCTTTTGCTGCCGGCTTCTTTCTGCCTTGCCAAGTATTTTGATAGAGTCCGTTTGGCATATTTATGAAGTCAACGCAGCGGGCATTGAAAGGACACAAACATCGTAGGACACAGAGCAATAGATAGTAGGGATACGTAACGTAGAGACTTGTGACATGCACACATGCTTGGACGCATGACCCCAATGGCCTTTATGCTGGACCTCAGACGCAGGGCTCTCTATTTTGTGCATAGCCAAAGTCAAGGATTGCACCTAACTAGTTTTTCTTTAGCTATAAACAGAATACCTCTAATGCAAGTTCCTTGCAGAACAGACACAGACGCGTTTCCCTGACTGATGACTCTGCAGAGAATGCGTCAACAGAGATACGAAATAAATATTAACGTAAAAACCTTTACGATTTGCGTCTATTTCAATGATACTCCATTCTAAAAAATATTGAAATTCAAAAGAAAAAAAATAGAAAGAAATTAAATTCCGATAACTTTTCCAGCTATTAAAGCACTAATTCCAATACAAGCCATATTAAAGTAAAACTTATTACAATCGTGATGTAATTACTAGGTTTTCTATAGTTTGTCTGTTATCGTTATCGATACCGATTCGACTATCGATAAATCGCAAATCGTTGGCCACAAATGCGGCTGTCAAACAGCGCATATAACACGGCCTTGCCAATGCACTTGGCACTTGGCTTAAGCCACAGCTCGTCAATGGAGCTGGCATTTGAATATATGCTCTTTCGCTCTCGTACTAATGCTCGCCATATAGAGCTCTTTGTCTCGCGCTCTCTCTCTCTCTTTCTCTTTCTATTTCTCTCTCTCTCTGGGGCAATTCAAAAATACTTAGCATCCACGTCAAATGTCACTAAATAATGCAGAGAACCAATTACCAAGGAGAAGGCGAAATCAAGTGATCCACTTGCAATTGCGATGTGTTGTTGGGCCAGTTGTTGGTGTTGTTGCGGCACAGATTATTGTTGTTCTTGTTGTTGTTGTTGCTGCGGTTCTTGTTGTCGTAGTTGTTGTTGTTGCTGTTGTTAATGCTGTAGCTTTAGCTGTTCGACACTTTGTTTTCGCCTGTGCCGCAGGGCGCTGAAAAGTATGCCACATAAAATCGAACAAGCAGCAGCAACAGCAGCGAGCAGCAAAAGCAAAAGCAAACGCATTAAAAGCAACTTAATAATTCAGATCGAAATCACCAATCAGCGCAGCTGACATGTTGACAAACGACGCCGCCAACGCCAACGCGAACGCCGCCGCCATAGACAACGACAACGACAGCGACAACGGCGCGAACAGACGCGGAACGTGGCCATGGCAAAGGGGGCAGTCAAGTGGGTGGCTTCCGGGTAGGGGGCGGGTCACATGGATGAGGACAAGAGATTTACATTTTCAAAATCGAACGGCGACATAAGCCACCGCAAAGCAAAAGACACGCAACCACAACCATAATGAAATCCATGATAAACAAGATAAACGAACACAAAAAAATTTTGTATATATATATACACACACACACACACACACACATATGCACATCAAGTTATATTTGTGAGGGCAAATGTATTTGGCGCATTGAAATACACTTATTATTGTACACCCTTCTAAAGTGATTTTTTTTTTTTAGTTTTTTAGTTGTTTCAAAGCAATTTGATCTGAATGATTAGTTATTGAATCATTTGATGCCATTTATCCACATTTCCCTGCAATATTCACAAACTGTATTAAACTAACTGAATATTACTTGCAGCATATACAATCTGCTGCTTAGCTCAAACAAAACAATTGAAACACTCGAATCATTTGAAACCATTTTAAACCTGATTTTCATTCCTTTCGCAGACATTATTTGTATTACAAGCAAGAATCGGTTTTGTATTGTTCAAAATCATTTGAAAAATTGTTAAAATCGTATCATTTGAATGTTTTTGAATTGTTTGAATCATTTGGTTAAATAAGGAGTAGGAATCTGATATTCATTTGCTTTATTCCCATTCGTTGCTTGACAGATTTATATTCGGATTGAATCATTATAAATCGAATCTTCTATTTTCTTTTTGAAGTTCAATGTTTCTACTAAACTACTTCAAGCAAATGATGCTATTTTTATATTGGCTTTGGCTTTCGAGTCATTTGATGTATATTATAGAATCAAATATTGACAAAATATTTGAATACATTTATTTGACTTTGTCTAAAATAAATGGCTTGCAACATATATTTTCAATATTACGGCTGTGTCAATGTGGCTAACTGCCTAGGCTAGTTGCCATACCCCCTAGTGAAGGGCATGCAAAAATAGGAAGAGCAACAACGTCGTATTTACATTTACTTATATCTATTTCAGCTATGCCGCTTTATACAGTTTCTGTTTTGGCATATCGGCTTGCAACCACCACAACGCAAGGAACCACCTTGTGGCGCTGACACACCCACACCCACACACACACACACACACATACACACACACACACACAGCCCTCCATCTACCACAAGCAAAACCAGCCTTGGTTTAGCTACTGCTGCATTGGCGGCTCATCTTGGTCGTTGTCAACGTTGTCTTCGATGTCTTCGTTTGCAATCAATGAAAGATTTATGACAACAAATACACACACACACACACACACACACGCACACATACAATCGCACATACACACACACATATTTGCTGGGGCGCTGCCTTTTTTTATGTCACATCATTATTTTTATTATGACGCTGCCGGCGGCGGCGTCGGCCCGTTATTCGAGAGTGATTAGTGACTAAAAATGACAACAATAATAATTGCATTGTGTGCGCGTGTGTGTGTGTGTGTGTGTGTGTGAGAGTTTGAGTGTGTGTGTGTGTGTGTGTGTGTGTGCTGGCCACATGAATGATTGCCCATCCATGATATTCGATATGATTCACAAATAAGTACAAATATTTGTTATTGTACACTGCTTCGCTCCGGTCGCCCAACAAATTTTTCCAGGAAAAACTGATTGGTTTACGACAACAGCCGTCGCTAGATGGCGCCAATTGTCCGCCAAAATGGGATCAAAGCTTCAATTCGATAAGCACAAATTTGAAAAGCGCCTATAACGATCCGTGCCATACCAACAGCTCAATTTGACAGAAATCAATTTAATATACCGGACAACGACTTATTAAGCGGACAAACTTCCGCCAGGCCTTAAATTTAAATTCAACAACCTTAATCTGAATTTGCTTTGCAGCATATTTACAAAATGCAAACCGCTTTTACAACTAAATCGATTTGGTTTTAAGAAATGCTTCGCCTAATCTGCCCAAATACCGACTTTTCGACTAGTTAAAACCGTTTATACGGATAGACAGACAATCAGCGAGTCGAACATTGCAGTTAAATAAAAAAATTCTTTTTTAGTTATTGAACCGAGTAGAAGCCAGAAGAATCTAGATAAGCCAGAAGACTTTTCCTAAATATAATTTTTACCGATAATTGGGGCCCGATTTTAGGAGATTTTTATGAGAAATCCACTCGACTGTTAATATTGATTAAAAATGAATATTTTTTATGAGGTTGCAGATGGGGTCCTTTCGAGTCTTTATTGTATATTTATCAAGTTTACCTCTATAAAAAACCTCGAGCAAAGGAGGAGTCGACGGCTTTAACTTTGGAGGAGACGACGGCTTTAATATTGGACGAGGCGACGGTGGCTCTTGGTTGGCCAATGCCACCTGTGTCTATTGACAAATCTGATTCGTATTATAAACATAGCTATTCCTTATATTAAAAATAAAAGGCATGTTAAGTTATGTTATGTGTATGCATGTTTGTTTGAATATATTTGAATACATTCATGTATTTGAATATGTTTATATGTTGCGCTGAGCTGAAAATTAACAAGAATGGTTATATTCATAGATATTGCTCTTCTATGCGATTCTCACAAATCCAATTAGGGCTTAGCAAGAAATCTGCATTTTTAAGCTAATAAACATTTTCTCTGGCTTCCTGTTCTTTCAGTGATGTGTTTTTGTAGAAATTAGTCTCCTCCGCCTACTCAAATATTCGTGCGTGTGATTTGAACAGGTGAGTACGTTATTACATATATATATTTATCTTTATAATTTATGTATATTTTTTCTAATTGCCCCTTTTTATGGGCCAATCGATCTGCCTTAAAAGTTTTTCTATATATATATTTTTTTTGCGTATTTTGCGTCTGGCTAAATTGAAATACCTTTGGCCAGGTGATTGCGTCACAAACAAATATGACTTGGCTTGGGTTTCGGTTTTGTTAGATTTGGGTCATAGTAAGAAATAAATTGGAACTCTGGATTCGAACCGGTTCAGTTGAGCCTGTCTACATGAATCTTTTGCGCTTCGCGCTCGGTAGTTTGGCAACTTCTAAGCCATTTGCGTTCAACTTGGGAATTTTTTAAACTGCCATGCAGTATATCGTTTGTGTGTGTATATATTTGTGATAGTGGCTTGTGTGTGTATGTGTGTGTGTGTGTCTATTATCTGTTGTCTGCCTGTCTGTTGCTGCTCCTAACTCACATTTGACACTAACTGCATTTTGTAGACTTTTAGCCACTCCCCCAATACCGACCGCCGCCCCTTCTGTCATTCTTTCCGCCCTTTGCAGCTCTGGCTTGCTGCTCGTCCCGCTTGCCGCTGAGCGCTGACTGCGAGCTGTAAGTGAAATCTTTCAGTGCGTGTAAAATGCCGTTGCTCGGTTTTTGGGTGCCACGCCCACACACTTGCCAGCTAGTTGGGCGGCAGCAGCAGCAGCAGCAACAAAAATAACAACAACAACAACAACACCAAGCAACGAGTTGGACAACAATGAAATGCTTTTAGCATCGAGCTGCGAGCTGCGCAGCGCCAAGCGAAATTAAGTTAACAACACAGAAAAAAAAAGTTTTGTGCACTGTTTTTATTGAAAATTTAGTTAAAAAACAGAAAGTGTCGACGAGTCGACGAGTCGTTTTCTGCGTGTTGTGTTTTATTTTAACATGCTCCTCCATACACATACACACACATGCACATACACACACATACACATACACTTACACATACACATACACTTACACACACATGCAAACACACACATGCAAACATACAGATGCAAACAAACACATGCAAACAAACACACACACACACACACACACACACACACACACACACACACCACATACACACACATAAACACACACACACACACACACACACACACACACACACACACACACACACACACACACACATCCAGAGCATGGGGAAAATGCACTCACATAAAATTTTCCCTAGTTTACTTTGACTATAACCTAATCGAAAGCGGCCATCAAAACGTATTTAAAAACGCTTTAAACTAACATATTTATTTTTTTTTAGTTGTGTTTTATTGTATAATAAAACATATTTTCCTTAATGAGTTCAGTTTTTTAGACAGCCCCAATTCACAGGCAAAGCTAAATCATATTTTTGGACATGTTTTTTTCTTGTTTGTTCGATTTGCCATTTACATTCGATTCAATTAGAAAATGTTATTTGCTCTTCAAAGTTTTTGTGTTATTTGAAAATGTAGAAAATGCTTTTCTAGCACAAAATCAGTACACTGTCATTCATTAGCGGACATGTTTGCTGGATGAATAACTTTGTGGGCACAATTTGTCCTCTGGACAACAATTTTTACGGCCAAAAACATGAAAGTTTTTCAATTATTTACAGCGAAAAAAAAAAACAAATTGCTACAAGAAAATGAAACTTTTTTCAATTAATTCAAATAAAAACCTGTTCCCACTCATTCCATTTTTTTTTTTTTTCAAACATATTTATGGAATATTTTTTCTTTCTCATTTTTATTTACATTTGATTGACATCAATTATTAGTTCTTATATCAAAATAAATACATACTCCATTTATATCAAGGAGGAATGAATTTTCCAAAATGTGCGAAGCTTCATGCAAAAGCTTTTCGCCATTTTTCCATACTTTCGGGTGAAAGTTCCCGAAACCCGTCTGAGCGTGCACCTACATCAAATAAGGCAACCCTAGTGTGCGTTGCTCACCAATCAGTCAGTCGGTCAGTCAGTCAGTCAATCAGTTAGTCAGTCAATCAGGACAAACAGTTTGACATATCATCTGAAATTGCTTCAATTTTTCGACTAAACAAATTTAGCACAAAAAGTTTCACTCCAATCGAACTGCAGTCGGAAACTGGTCGACAATTTAAGCTTATAGCTTTTAAACGTTATGTTATTGTTGATGCATGGAGTATATAGTATGTAGTGTTGCCTCCTTGACATTCCAAAAATTGATTAAAAGAAATTATATGCGAAGTGTGCACTTGACTCTTTTAACTGTTGGCTTTCATTAAGCGCATTATAAATATATTCAAATACTTTATGCAACATAATTAAATTAAGATTTTCTCAATTTGTTGATGACCAAAATGATGAGCCGGAGTCATTGGCCCAGCGGCAACGGTGGCGCAGCTGCCGCAGACCAAGGATGTGTGGGAAGGGATAGGGGATAGGTGCTGCTGCTGGTGCGAGTCAAAGTCTCTCGTAGGTGCTCAAGGAATCTCAATAAAAGTTGTCGACAGGGCAACAACAGCACACACGCACACAAATACACACACAGAAAGACGCTCTTTAGGTCTGCCAAATCAGCGCAGAGATCACACAGACATGGACTCTAAGCATAAAATTTATAAATTATTGAATCTATGAAAATATGAACATCACGTACGCGACGACGCGCGTTTCAGCTGCTTTTTGCCAGGACGAACTATTCACAACAGCAGCAGCAGCACAATTACAGATACAAATGCAGGCTACAGATACAGATACAGCTACGGATACAGGCTATAGATACAGATACAAACAAGACAATCGCACAAAACGAACATACAGCTATGCACAAAAGGCAAAGTATGTGTGATTGTGCGTGCGTGTGCGAGTGTGTGTGTGTGTGTGTGTGTGTGTGTGTGTGTGCGAGTGTGCGTACGTCAGAATATGCACAGAATTTCATTACGCTGCCTGCGTTCGTCGTTCGTTTTTATAAATAAGTTAGTTGGCAACCCTGCCAGCCTGTTTATTTGTTTGTTCGTTTGTTTGTTGTTTGTTAAAGTTTGTTCATCTGTTTCGTCGCGTTCGACGTGCTCAACATTATTGGCGGCTTCGCTGGTTACTACTACTTCGGCATGTTGGTTGCTAGAGCACCCCCCCCCCCCTCCGTTCCCCTTCGCACCCCTTACAAACTCTGCCCACACTCATCTTAACCATAGTTTGAAAAGGCGTCTGCCAGCAATAACGGTGCCAACTAGAAAACTTTTCTAATAATTCGTTTGATGAATTTCTTTTCCACGACAAAAAAAAAATATATATGAAAAAAAAACAACAAAAGCAAAAATATATCTGCAGGAAACCATAGCTATAAGGGCAGATATATTCATTGCCTGAACGCAGATGAAGCAGCTCTTGAAGCAAACAAATCTGAACTATGATGGGTATGCATAAGGGCGTTTTAGCATATTCCAATCGAGCTGCTGTCGGTTTTTGCCATTAAATTTGTCGCTTGATATGCCTGTTATTGACACAAGTTCATTCAGACTTACTCCCATATATGTCAACTGGAGAGTTCTCCAGCGCCAAAAGTCTTGGTCTTTGTTGAGCGACCTACTCAATCTACGCAGATACCAAACCTGGTAACCTTGGAACAGAACCGTATATGAGTAGAGTATGTAGTGGCAGACCCTCGCGGCAAAACTGTAATACTCTTAGCGATGGTATACAAATTCGGAAGGTCTCGTTCATTTATCTTATTGGTTAGGGCTTGTAAAAACCAAAATATTGAATGATTTTACGACACGGATGCCGCCGTAAACTTCAGAGCTTTGAGCTGATTATAGCGGAAGAGGGCCGCTTGCTGGAGCCAATGTGAATAATGAAGAGATGCATGTATTTAGAATTCGCCCATTAATTAGGCAATTTATTGGCGTATTTATTAATAAATCATATCAATTTAATGTCTGCTCTCTGTAACCAATCTGTAATACTAGTTAAGAATTACAACTACTATTTCACAAAGAATGTTTCCGATTTTCCGACTAACAACTTAGTAGGGTCCTTCTCCAAGTTTTAACGAGCGACATTTGGCGTTTAAACTGATAATCAAGTATGTGTTGAGCTTCGTTTTCAAACATTTATGGATCGCATTCATTTAGCGTACACGACGCTAACTGCAACGCCCATCACTGAGCGAGGTACCGTCCTGTTACGAAAGAGTATATAAATTGGGTATAACCCAATTGGAAGGCACTTACGAATTTACCAATCCTAGAAATTTATAAGCAGGTCTAGCCATATTGCCTGCTAAACATTCAACTGTGAAAGACAATCGAATGAGAACGATTAATTGAATTGGTATCTGTTACCCACCCACAATTACGTTCGATCATGATTATATGCCTAAATATGTGTTCATTTAAAATATATATCCACATGCTCCAGAATCTACTTACCGACCGATCTCGAGCTGTTTAAATTGTGTGCTGCATGTGTAACCTATATGGAGTGGCAATCGCGTTTATGTAAATTTGGTTATTATTTGATACAGTAGACGTTTGTGTCCTTTGTGCCGTGTCCGGTTGTCATTGTAGACGGCTACAAGATACGTCTCAATTTGCTAGTAAATTAATGCCCTACACTTAGAAGAGCTATGTCACATTGTTGAAAATCAAAGTGTACTGAAAAAGACTAAATGGATTATAAATCGTAGTTTAAGTAAATTTTAATATTTGACTAACCTGTTTAGCGTGACCTTAGAAACCATCTCTCGATCCCGGGTATGCGAATGCAAGGGCGACAGTGGGATCTGCAAAATTGGTTTGGTTTAGTGGCATCAATCAAAGGCTATTCATACTTGAACTGAATTTGTTTGGCGAAACAACATATTAAAATAGAAATGAAACCAAAGATAAAGCTCAATTAAATAATGAGCAACAAATGCTGAGTAATTTATTTACTCAATTCTATAATAATAGAAATAAAGAAAACGACCATTGGCCAAAAAATATCGCGAAACATAATTAAAATTTTGGAATTTGGTAAATTTGTTGTGTTCCGTTTAAGATTTGATTGTTAACTAAATAGTTTTGGCAGCAGCTGCCACTGCTTGAAATCTGATTGAACTTCAAATTGACCTGGACTACTAAGAGAATTAAAAAAAAAAATGGAGATATTCAACAGAACTGAAGTTCTTCAAGTAGGCGTTGTCGGAGGAGCAGAGTGTGCGTCCTTCACCTGATTAACAAGAAATGTAATAAATATATCTGAATTATGCGCATTACTTGAGCTTTATGTGTGTGTGCGTGTGTGTGTAACTTTGAGATGCACATACACACAAGCACAAACACATACACATGGCTGTAGAAAACCCAGCTCTTTGGCAAATATCCTATCCAAGGCAACATGTTTGCATTTTGTGCGTAGCCTCAGCCCCCGTTCTTGTGCCACAGCTCGTATACGTAATCTATTTAATTCAACCAAGCAAGCGTGTCAGTCATATGTGTGTCATGTGTGTGCGGATGTGTATGTGTGCGCGCGCGTATATGTATTTGTGAAAGCTGCGTAGCTTCGCTTTGGCATTATCAACTCATAAATATTTATTGAATTTTAAGAAATTTTCAAAAATTGGTTACAGAAGTAGCCAACGGTCCAGACCAGACCAAACCAACCCAATCTCTGACCAACATCTGGATGCGGCGCTGCGTGGGTGGCAGCTCTGACGACTTGGCTATCAACACATATCCGTCATCGATTCTTCTTACCCGCCCGCCTTGCTCCTGCCCCGTCGCTGCGTCCTGCGCTGGCAGCCTGTCGTTCCGTTTGCATTCTCTTATTTGGATTATAATTTTTTCCATTTCACATATGAATGCGTTTTCCTTGGTGGCTGCTCTCGCCACTCGCTGCTCGCCCGCTTTTCTGCCCAGTTGTCAATTTCCATTTTCATTTTCATTGCAAGCGGCAAAAGCAACGCCGCTGGACACAAAGCTGAGCACTGCAATCCTCGGGGCACGCATTGCCGTGGCCCCTGCATTCCTTAAGTGTTCGCTCGCAGTAGCTGTCTTAACTGCGTCCGGCAAAGATTAAGGACGATGCATAAGCAAATGAAAAATGTTAAATTTATATTAGATATCAACTTATTCGTTAGCTGGAAACCACTTAGGATTCTAAGGCTAAGCATTAAAAATATGTATTTATTCCATAACAATTAGTTTAGTTCGTAATGTACTCCTGATTATATATCAGATTCAGTTAATACTCAAAGATCTATGCGAAAATGCATTGAAACCGATTTCCGAAACTAACAGGTGGAATATGGATGGAAAATCGATGTCTGCGTGAAAACATGTGCATGTGTATAACATGAATAAATATGTATGTTCATATCGATGAATGGATAAATGTATGTGTGTATGTATGTATGCAAGTAGGTGTGTCATATAATAACACAAACCAGGTTTACTTTACTTTTTAGTCCACCAGCTGTTATGCGATTCTCAAGAATTCAAGTAAGTTCCACAGCTTTTCATGCTTTCGTGGAAAGAGCTATGTTTAAAAAAGTGATTTGGCAGACTTATAAACCTTCTGGTTGGTATCAATGTATGTATGCTTGTATGTTTGTATTTTAGTGGGTATGTATGTATACTTTAATGTATGTTTCTATGCCTGTATGTATGTATTTTTGCATGTAGATATATATTTATGTATGTGTGCTGCTCTTTCTGCGTTTAAATATAAGTATAAAGAATTTACAAACATTTTGCGATCAAACATTGCGAATATTAATATTGACTTGAACTAACCAGCTTGCTTTGTTTAATTCGGTGTGCTAATCCTGGCTTTGTTAGAAATCGCATTTTAGATACTTAGCAAAAAGTATGTAATTTAAATCTTTTGCATGAAGTTGGGTGGCATTATAAGAAGAGGTCTCTCCCCAAACTACAAATATAAAGCATTCAGCCAATTAATAAGAACAAATAAAAGGCTAATTAGTCAGTGTAGGATATGTATATATATATATATTAGCTCTGCGGTATATGGACTATAAAGGCTTTGCCATTTCCAGTTTCCTTCGCCCCGTTTCGCTACCCAACAACATCTTTCGCACATGCAATTGAACACTTTGGTGTTTGTAATTATGAAATGAACTTTGACCAGGTACGCGACCAATATGCTCTTTGCCCTTTTAATCGCATTAAATGCTCATATTGCCGTTTATTCAACTATGCCCCAAACCAGATCCGACCAAGCCCCCACCGTGCAACCCTTTCAGAGCATATGCAGCTATTTGGAGTTACGCTCGCGTTGTGTGCGCGGACACGCCCACTGCCCACAAAATGCAAAATTAACTTGTTGATGTGACGATGCAAAACGAATGGGCTTAGGGTGAGACAGTGTAAAGGGGTGACGGAGTTTGGAGCTTGACTTGGCTTGGGTTCGGTTAGGTTGTGGGGGTTTTGGTTATGGGGAATACCCATCTGATAGCAGTTTGAAAATCGTTCCGTGTTCGAATCTTATTAGTGGCTTATAATTACAATTGTATACAGGCCAATTATGTTACGAGACAAAGCGAGTGCGATTCACACATGCACAAAAAGACACACGCACGCACACACACACACACACACACAGGTGCGACTGTGTGTGTAGCTAATTAACCAACGTCAGAAATGGCCGTTAAGTGCCTGAGTGTGTGTGTGTGTGTGTGTGAGTGTGTGTGTTTGATTGAGTGTGTGTGCGTTGCAAGTATCTCGATAATGATGTTCATTTTGCAAGCAAATCTCATAATGCACACACACACACACACACAAAGCGCTGTATTTATGTAAATGGAGACAGCAATTTATGCATATGTATTTGTTGCATAAGTTAGCGCTCAGATAATTAAGCAACCAACAGCCGCCCACAACACCCGCCGCACCCACCACACTTGCCACACTTGCACACCGCCAACGTACGCTTTGTGCAGCGAAGCAGGAGTCACCACTTGAGTGTATTTTGTAATCGAATCCACGTCTGAAATCCTTCTATGGTCGATAATTTCATTTTAGGACCCATTTTGATTACAAATTACAGCACACGGACATCATGGCAGCACACTTTCCGCAGCGTATCATCCATTATGATGGACCTTATCCGGGAAATTCTACACCTAGACCCTAACACCTGCATTGGGCCAGCTCTGAGTTTTCCTGCCAATCTGACAGATTTTCATTGTTCTAAGCAGTTAATAGATGTCCATATGCTTGTTTCTGTCTTCTATTTTAATGTAAATCTTTCAATTATGACATATTCCGTCATAAGCCTGGCAGCATCATTCTGGGTCCAAATTTATGTAAAAATGGTACCCCCAAATATCCTATATAGACATAGGTAATAATTTTCCAACCCCGTATCTCGGTCAACTCTCATCAGAGCTATTTGTTCATGGTTTGTCCTCTAGATCATCTAAATCCACGAGGTTTGACCCTTTATTTATTTATTTTATATGTACTCCGAGCAGGGCCGCGGTATACCTAGTAGTATATATAAATATATATAGAATATCATATGATATAGACTCTAAATTGGGCAAAAAAACAGTTTAAAGTTCCATTTCGCTTTCAACCAATGTATCTTGACCAATGTCGGCATTTAAGAGCTTCTCTTAATCAAAGTGATAGCATTTTTAGGCGGCCGTCAGGTAATTTTCGTCTGCTCAAAAGATGTCTAATTGAGGAGAAAATTGAAAAGAAAATGTCCGACCAAGCGACCAACAAGTTTAAATACTTTTGTTCTATTTATGAACATAATAATACTAATAAAGGAGAAAGTTTGTATATGCCTTATGCATTTTGCATTGTTAGACAGAAAACCATGACTCGAGCCAAAACCTTGGTTGTGGAAAAGTCAGTTCTCGAGCCGAGCCTTAAGCGCAGACATTGGTTCGAACTACCTATTATTTTTATTCGACTGTCAGATTATTTATTTTTCTACATGCCGACTGCTTTCCTTTAATTAATGTTAATTTTTGTCAGAGTTTCACATTGTTATTCTCATCGTCATCTTCTCCATTAATTGCAGCATTTAATGCTTATAATTATATACTCTCTAGAACTGAGACATGTCGACTGCCGATAATAAAGTTGTTATTGTTGTTTATCTACTTTATTAGCTTAAGTTAGGTTGCTTCTTTTTTTTAGTTTTTCCTAGAATTTTCTGGATTTTGTTTACTTGAATTAAGTTGACATTTTACATATACTTATCTTTTATTTAGCTAGAGCTTTCGGATGCTACGAGTTCCCCGCAATTTAGATAGACTTTATTGGCTAAGGCCATTATCTCTGTGCTTTATAGATCCGTAATTTGTAGGCGAAACTTATATGGTAAATATTTATCGTTACATGCCGTGTTTTGGGATCTATGTAATGAAGTTAAGAATCTGTTTAAATAACAGAACTCTGGAAAATCAGACACTCCGAAGCTGTACAGAACTCTTATAACTTATAAGGACTGCCATAAAAAACACTCTCAAGCTCTCTTATGCAAGGAACTGCGACGGCGTCAAATGCAAAGAGTAAATTGTCAGTGGTTAACAGTCAAAGAGTGATTCGCTGTTGAATTCGGTAAGGTTTAAGGAAAATAACGCTAAGCATCCAGCCTCTATGATAACTAAGAGAGAGTCGTATCTCTTATACGCAGGGTGTGTGTCATGGCTAACCATGTTTGAGCTACACGGCGGTAAATTAAATCTACTTGGGGGTGGTTAGCCATTTGTTTTCTATAGTAAATACAGAGTATCAAAGAATTGAATTGAATTGAATTTTAAAATAATGTTGTAAATAAATACTAACAGTGCCTTTTATGGCGGTCCATGTTCTGGTATACATATAACAACTTTTATACTCGCACATTTGAGACACTGACTGAGCACAAAGAGCGTGTGGCTCTCTTTGCGCTGCCGCTGCCTCTCCTTCTGTTAAATCTCGCTGCTAAGTTAACAGCGCGTGTGACACTTACAGCGCGAAATATTCACTAGCTATTACATAACTGTTATACAAGCCGCCAAGCACTTGCCGCACAGGCAGATAAGCAAGCAATACGCCA